TAGTGCTTCGAATTATTCGATTAAATATTCCAGCATCCAGCAACTTTTTATTTCGAAGCTTATTTTTGGTCGATGGGCATACCAACGGTGCGTTTCGTTCGGATTCTGGTTAGTGTTTCTCATGGACAGGTCCCATGTCCGCCCATGGGAGTGCCGACGCTTCTGTCTGTTCCTCCAGATGTTGCGTTTTTTTCTCGAGCACGTCGCATCGTGGAAAGCGGAGCCATCAGCTTCTGGAAAATTAAAGTCTCACGCGTTGCGGACTATTTGGACCGATCCGGGGCCAACCGTTTTTCCTTCAGAATCTCATAATTTCTGTCATAATACTGTATTCACATTGTTTCATTTTTATTTTTATTATTATTCTATCATTATTACTATTACTATTATTATTATTATCTTGAATTTCGTTAGAAAAATTAAAAGAGCGTCCGGCTCGTTCACGTGAAATAATTAAATAAATAGTTATAATCACAACAAGAAGATCAAAGACGACTAAGCTATGAGATTCCTCGCGGATCTAGGAATCGATCGAGGATTTCGGGGATGAGGAGTGTCGAGGCCTGGCGACGATCGGGGCCACGTGCCTGCGGTTCGAGCCACGAACGAAACGTACGCGTACGCGAATCGAATTGAATGCGAAGCTCTCGAACCTCGGCGAGACGTGCACGGCCTACGAGTTTGCGGACCGCGCGCGGAAAATTGCAGAAAATCCCGCGCGCGCCGCTCGCCGACGGATTCGACCGTCAATCTTTCAACAGGCTGCGAGCCGACCGGCAACATCGGCTCGCAAACCCGGGATAGAGGCGGACGGATACTTTCGTGCGCCCTCGCCGCGAATAGAGCCTGATATATCTATCTCTAACGCCCGGCTAGGCAGGAAGTGGTATAAATAGGCGAACACGCCGTGGACGAGCGCGTGTCGATCCACGCAGCGCCGAGATTCACCTGCGACTTTGATCCTTTATCCTCGATACAGCTTGCAAGATGGCCGAAGAAACGATACTTTTGTTCCTATCCGATCCGTTGAGAAATTGCAACTTTTTATTTGCCGACGTAACGGTTGCTGCCAGTGCATCGTTTCTGGCCATCTGAAATTATTATTCATATTTTTCTGTTTCAAGTTGGCAGAACTTCGTACTAATAGTGGACTTAGTTAATTAATATATTAATATTATATATATTATAATATATATATATATATATATATATATATATATAAATATTAATATTATAACACTTAATAGTGTACTAATAGTTGGAACTTCATACTATTATAGTGGATACGTACAATTAACCCTTTGCCGTACTTTGAGGAATCCGACTCGTCATAAAAATTTCTAGTAGTAACTTATTCTGTTCTTTAACATAGGAATAAATCTCTCATCGTCAATATTTAAGCATTCAAATAAATATATGCACACGATAAGCATGGATTTTCTTTCCCTTCTAAGAAATGATTGCAATCGAAAAATTTTTAATCATAATAACTGCAAATAAAATGGTATGTCAAGGGGTTAATAAAAAAAAGAACGTTCCGTTTATAATACGAAGTGCTCTTAGTAAAGTATCTTATTACAAATGTACACGATACGTGTAATAGTAAATTTTCGAGGTGACCAAATATGTTACTAAACGTGGCCAGAGCTGGTGTACAAGTTAGATATCAACACTAAAGGTATTAAATAATCTGTTAACTAATAAAAGACTAACAAAATCAACATATCNAAATATTCCAGCATCCAGCAACTTTTTATTTCGAAGCTTATTTTTGGTCGATGGGCATACCAACGGTGCGTTTCGTTCGGATTCTGGTTAGTGTTTCTCATGGACAGGTCCCATGTCCGCCCATGGGAGTGCCGACGCTTCTGTCTGTTCCTCCAGATGTTGCGTTTTTTTCTCGAGCACGTCGCATCGTGGAAAGCGGAGCCATCAGCTTCTGGAAAATTAAAGTCTCACGCGTTGCGGACTATTTGGACCGATCCGGGGCCAACCGTTTTTCCTTCAGAATCTCATAATTTCTGTCATAATACTGTATTCACATTGTTTCATTTTTATTTTTATTATTATTCTATCATTATTACTATTACTATTATTATTATTATCTTGAATTTCGTTAGAAAAATTAAAAGAGCGTCCGGCTCGTTCACGTGAAATAATTAAATAAATAGTTATAATCACAACAAGAAGATCAAAGACGACTAAGCTATGAGATTCCTCGCGGATCTAGGAATCGATCGAGGATTTCGGGGATGAGGAGTGTCGAGGCCTGGCGACGATCGGGGCCACGTGCCTGCGGTTCGAGCCACGAACGAAACGTACGCGTACGCGAATCGAATTGAATGCGAAGCTCTCGAACCTCGGCGAGACGTGCACGGCCTACGAGTTTGCGGACCGCGCGCGGAAAATTGCAGAAAATCCCGCGCGCGCCGCTCGCCGACGGATTCGACCGTCAATCTTTCAACAGGCTGCGAGCCGACCGGCAACATCGGCTCGCAAACCCGGGATAGAGGCGGACGGATACTTTCGTGCGCCCTCGCCGCGAATAGAGCCTGATATATCTATCTCTAACGCCCGGCTAGGCAGGAAGTGGTATAAATAGGCGAACACGCCGTGGACGAGCGCGTGTCGATCCACGCAGCGCCGAGATTCACCTGCGACTTTGATCCTTTATCCTCGATACAGCTTGCAAGATGGCCGAAGAAACGATACTTTTGTTCCTATCCGATCCGTTGAGAAATTGCAACTTTTTATTTGCCGACGTAACGGTTGCTGCCAGTGCATCGTTTCTGGCCATCTGAAATTATTATTCATATTTTTCTGTTTCAAGTTGGCAGAACTTCGTACTAATAGTGGACTTAGTTAATTAATATATTAATATTATATATATTATAATATATATATATATATATATATATATATATATAAATATTAATATTATAACACTTAATAGTGTACTAATAGTTGGAACTTCATACTATTATAGTGGATACGTACAATTAACCCTTTGCCGTACTTTGAGGAATCCGACTCGTCATAAAAATTTCTAGTAGTAACTTATTCTGTTCTTTAACATAGGAATAAATCTCTCATCGTCAATATTTAAGCATTCAAATAAATATATGCACACGATAAGCATGGATTTTCTTTCCCTTCTAAGAAATGATTGCAATCGAAAAATTTTTAATCATAATAACTGCAAATAAAATGGTATGTCAAGGGGTTAATAAAAAAAAGAACGTTCCGTTTATAATACGAAGTGCTCTTAGTAAAGTATCTTATTACAAATGTACACGATACGTGTAATAGTAAATTTTCGAGGTGACCAAATATGTTACTAAACGTGGCCAGAGCTGGTGTACAAGTTAGATATCAACACTAAAGGTATTAAATAATCTGTTAACTAATAAAAGACTAACAAAATCAACATATCTATCCTATTACTTCAATATTTTGTTCAGTTTCTCTTCGTCGGCGACGTTTACGAGGATGAACAATTTTTTGGAACAGTCTGTAGGCCGTTGATTCGAATCCTCGAGTATTCGACGAATTCGTAGATTCAATAACTCCTTCCTTAAATTTCTGATAGCGAAACAGTAATGAGGTTACAGCGCCGAAATATGTGAAAGCTGTTAAGCGAGGCGTCGTGTAATCCAACGATCGTTCGCAGAGTCGACCATTGTTCTTCCATAACCACTGTCTCCCCTCGAACTTCGTTTATTGAATCTAATTGCGTAACAGTCGAACGTCTCCGACAAAAGTAGCGATCGAACGTGTGCGCGAATATGTATTCCCGCAGCGTCTTTAACTCCTTTCGCAGAAATCTAGCGAGCGTTCTCTCCGAAGTTTCGAACGTTCGTACTTCGACAAACGTCGCTCAATGTACTTCAATTATCGTGGACGAAATGAGCGAAGGCCAGGCTGAATTGAAATAAATCGATCGATTAACTCCCGCCCGCAACGAGAGACCGAGTTCGTTCCAACGCAACGTCGAGCCGGACCAGCCGTAGCTGAGAAGGAACGCGCTCTGAACCCGAAGCGCAGCGTGCCAGGCTCTAGTTTCTCGAAATTCTCAGGCCAGATCTAGACCGGTCCAGAATTCGGACCCGCGAGAACGTCGATAAACGGTTCGGCGAAGACACCGCGAGCCGTAAGAACCGTCCACGAATCTCTTCGTGGATGGGAGCGAAGCCGAGTAAACATGCTCGCGCGGTTCACTTCGAAAAATTCCAGCATCCCCGTCGGCGTTCAATAAATCGCTGGTCGCAGGCAAGACGCGGCTCGCTCGGGAAATTCAGCACCCCCATAAACAGTCCGTCGTCGGTAGTTTCTAAGCGGGCGCTGGTCTGGCCCGGTTCGTCGTCCGAGCAATTTATTTTCCGGTTCTAACCGAGAGCGTCCAATACGGGCGCAACGAGAGAGATCCAATACGGGCAATCAAACGCTGTCGAGCGTACGCCTCCCTTTGTTGACGCAGAAAGAAGCAGCGTGACAGGGCTTCTCGGGCGACCCCCCTATCTCCGAGGGAGAGAAACCGGAGAGAGAAAGGGATCCGGAGGGAGAAAGAGAGCGCGTGCGAGAGAGCGAGCGAGAAGCGAGAAGTGGAAAGAGGAGAAGGCGACGAGAGAAAGGCTAGATAAAGCCGTGGAAAAAGACGGAAAGATCGCGCGCGAAATAGAGGAGCGCGGAATCCGTGAAACAGCGGGGAAAGGAAGACGGAGAGAGCGTCGGGAATACGCGCAACCACCATCGTGCTGGATCACGGGGGCGTAAAGAGAGAATAGAGAAGAGAGGCGAGAGGCGGGAGGAGAGATCGAGGGAGAGATATATATATATAGTGAGAGAGAGAGAGAGAGACAGAGAGAGGGAGAGAGAACGTGAGGTCGCGGAGGAGGGCCGCGGGGGTGTCGCGGGTTCCTCGGCGTCCAGGGGGAAGGGGCGAAGCTCAACGCATGTGCACAGGGCGCCTCGCGTCGCGGCGCTCTGGTCCCGCCGGCTCTCGGAGGCTGCGAAACCGAGCGGCCGGAATTCGCGGATCAGAGTGGTCGGATCTCTCGCTTCAGATCTACGCTCGGCGCGAAGACAGAGGTGTCCCCGCGGTTTTCCATGAAAATCGAGCGACGACTCGCGGGAACCGTCCGTTCGACGCTGGCCCACGGTACGGCCGCACGAGGTTGCCTCGATCAGGACGTGGAACAGAATGGTGGTGCCGCGGTCGCGTCCTGGCCATCGGTGACGACGAGCACCGGTCCGCAGAGCAACCGATCTAGCCAGGAGCGCGGAGTGCACGTGCTGCGACATGACCGCTTCCTCGAGCTTCGGGATCAGCGTGGTCGTCTAGCTGCTCCTCGGTGCTCGACACCGGCGTCGGCCGGCTCCAGTTAACAGAGACAGAGTCGCAGACCGGGAACAGCAGCAGCAGCAGCAGTAGCAACAGCAGCAGCAGCAACAGCAGCATCGTTCACGAGAAGAAGCCGGAGAGAGAGAGAGAGGCTTAGACAATCGCAACGCCCGCGCTGGTGCATGACTCGCTAAAGCAATCGCTCGCTTATTTTTTATTGTTCTTCATCCGCAGACGGCATAGCCTGGATTAGAGGACGCGCGCGCGAACAGTGGACCGGGCACGATCGCGTTATTCTGAACAGTGAGCAAGCACGGCCGGATTATAGTGATATCGCGGAACGTTTTTGCCGGTTAGACCGTTCGAGGCGAGAGCAAGGGTGATGGTGATTGGACTCGTATGCCGGCGTGGTTCACAGCAGAGTAAGCTACCGCGAAGGACACATGTCCCGTGGAGGGTGTCGGGCCGTTTCCACTGCACCGGGTGTCGTCTGGCTGGACCGGTGACTGTCCGCGATCTCCATCGGACCACGAGGCTGCCCGAGGAGGAGCTGCTGGCGCGTGGTGGGAAGAACCAGCCACGACGGGGCCCGGCGCCGGGGCACGAACAAGGCCCCCGGTGCAGGGAAGAAGCCAGGCGGAGGGGGAACCCGGGCCCGGCGTAGCAGCAACGGCCCTGAAACTACAGGGGAACCTAGCTACCCCCTTGCACAGGGGGGACACCAGGCGGAGACCTCGCCGACGACGGCGACGGAAAAAGAAGCGACGGAGGTGAGCCCGCTGCATTTCAACCCTCTAGGCCCTAGGAGTTTACACCTCGATTTTAACCCGAAATCGCTGCCCCCTTCGGCGACGGACAACCGTCCCTTTGTTTTCGTTAGGCTTTCCGTGTCCACCGTTCGCGATGCTCGAGCCATCTTTCAGACAAGTGACGGCTCCCATGTTCTTCTTGGTGAGGATAAGTGTTTGGCAGTGACCACACACGGACGCCAAAGTGTTTCCGCAGGCAGCCGACCATCGCGTCGCTGTCAATGGCGCCGCTTATTTTTGGTAGTGCAAGTGTTCCGCTTGCCGCGTTAAACATTCAACGCGGGTTTCTTCGGGTCTCTGTGGATCTTTGTTAGGGATCTAGGACACCGGCTCCAAGGTTCGATTGTGCGACAGTTGCACGGTCAGTCCTTGCGGCGCACAGTGCACTTTCGATCCTTCGTTTCGACGCCTGGTACCGTTTCTCTTAGTCCGATTGAAACACGGTCGATTTGTTAGGGTAGTTGAAGTGAGATTGAACGCTGACGTAACACGACGTTGCTCACAGCTTTGTGCTCGGTTATTTTGCTGACCGAACTAACGGCACCTTGGAACGATCAAGCACATGACACTATTGTTACTGTCTTAGAAGTCACTTTAACAGGAAAAGTCGCTAGATCAGTTCGGTGACGATTAGACTGCGGATTTTTATGCAGAGTAAAAATTGTCCGCGTCAATTGCGAGATGCGGGAGTTCTAGAGACATTTCGCTTCGTTCTTAATCATTTCAATCGGTCGAAAATAATGTAACAGCATTTGGAAATTCTTTAAGTATTTTTAACACTTTCGATCTGCCACATTTTCGCCATAATCGCATGAAATCCGCAGGTCTAGTGGTGATTTTAGAGTTCAGAATCGTCAAACGGAAACGTTCAACCATTAAAAATAGCTAACCGATGTCGTCTGCGACTACAACCGAATGAAATTACCCAGAAACGATCGAAGGAACGATTGCTTCCGAAGAATTCGCCGTACAGTTTCCGTGTTTTCTTTGGTCTCGAGGCAGGATCCCGTGGGTTCAGGTCGATGGAAAACGAAGTCCAGTCACGTGTACGCGAAAAATTCGGTACGCGGAGTGTTTCGACGACCAGTTTCTTGCCCGCGGAGAGGGGCACCGAGCGCGACGAGTAATAAAACGATGAGTAACGAGTGGAATCGGCGCAATAACACGACCGGACAATAAGAAAATAAGACCGGGTCGCGAGAAGGGGTCCTGTTCAATATTCGAGGAACGTGGCCGGCGTGCCTCCGCTGCGGCAAAAACGCGAAAAAAATGCTCGCCGCTGTCCGTCGGACGAATTTAAACAATGGTGGGATTCGTTTTCAGCCGCGGAACCAGTATACCGGGTTTCAAATCCGCTTTCTTTCCGCTTGAGAACGCGGAGATTCGTTCGTCGAGAATTCGAGGCTCGTGACAGGAGGATGATGAATGATCTGATTCCGTGCTATTAATTAGGTTCGATAGATGTTGCGCGGTGTTCGTACGTGCAGCGCGCCGCGAGGAGGCAGCCTTTTCGAGATAATTACCGGTGATTCTGTCATGGGAAAGGAAAACTTGCTCGCTCGGAATCACGGTCTTTTTAACGAGCCAATGGAAGTTCGTTCTTCGAAGTGTTTTGCATCGATTGGCCGACCAATTAAGAACAAACGGCGTCGATCGAAATTAAGATTGCAATTATTCCAATCAATTGCGACCACGCACGATTTTCTCAGACTAGAGAGACAATAATATCTCAACTAGGAAACGCGTCTGTACATTTTCCGTCGATTGTCAATTTAATCGTGAAGGAAGGATTTTCAGGAATGAGATTTCGTAGACCAGGATTTTGTTATTCGTCCTCGATTCGTCAGGCTCGCGGATCAAAAACTTGCGCGAACGCTTCGGCTAGAAATCGGATTCACGGGTGAAACGGCGCCGGTTAATCCGGGCATAGTTAATCAGCGTAGGAGGTGCGCGAGTCTCGAGAAAGGGAGGCACACAACGAGGTCGCGGAGGCGAGCGGCGCGCGTGCAACATAAATCGAAGGGAAACCGAAAGCAGACAGCCGCGTCGTCTACGTACAACAGGTCACTCGTTGAATAATTTACCATCGGGAAATGTTTGAATAGAAACGGGGGGCCTGCTGCCAGTGTCGCCAAGGACCGACACGAGTTTCGCGTGAAACCGTGGCCCCGAATCGCGACGCTTCGCGGTCGCAGCTTTGCATCCATTTCTCACGAGACGCCCGGCGTCTGGTGGCTTGTTCTCGAAACGGCTCGCGAATTTCCCCGCGCCGCCCTTACAACGGGGGCTAGAGATCTCATAATTGCCGGAAACCGTCGCCGCTTTATTCTCGGTCCCGGATCTTCTAAATTATTTTTTCACTCGATCCCTGCCCACTTGGTCCCACTTGGTTCTCGAACATTGTTGTGCAACATACGAATTTGCCGGCGAGTGACAAAGTGGCTGCGAAGAAGTCGCGACAAAATATCGCACCGGACGCCACCCGGCGAGCCGCTGACTGACTTACGAGCAGGAAGCGTCTAAATCGCCAGTTACAAGCTGCATGACAATTCAATTTCTGCCAAGTACACTACTTCTTCGAGTTCGCTTCAACGACGAACAGAAGAACGGACGATCGTTCGTTCGCGTCTGCGAAATAGCGAATGTCCTCAACGATCCGACGTACTCGACGGAACTTTATTATCAATAAATTATTTTGCAATTTCCAAAGCCCTCTGTTCGAATCCGAAGACACTGTTTCAACATTCTGCCACACAAATTTCTGTCTGTCCAATGTTTCGTTGGCTAGCGACAGAGATTATTCGCAAAGCCGCGTTCGAAATGATTCCAAAATTATTTCCACGGTCTATTTATACCGGTCGCTGTTTACTGTCCAAGTTTCCAACGTTTTCCAGCGCGAGAGCTAATGAACGATCCGCGAAAAACGCGCGGGCGGAACACGGTCGCGCGACACCGAACGAACGCCTCCCGTGAAAGGGCTCTTATGATAAAACGCGGGACGTGCGGGAGATAACGTGACGTTTAAATTAACGCCGGGCCCGCAACACACGACACGCTTCGAATGTCACATTACGATACCCCGTAACGGTTGATCAACGCTCCCGCCAAAATTCGTTACCGGGTTCCCGCTTATTCATCAAAACTCCCGCGCCAGTGTATCGACGAAACGCGTTCGACCGCCGACGAAGTTATCTGATTCTCCAATTTTTTCCATTTTTTTTTTTTGCTTTTTTATTTCCTTTCGTTCGCTCGTTCGTTCGACCGTTGTCTTTTTTCCACCAGCGTTCCGCTCCGCTTTTCCCCCTGTTCCGTTACTCCCGGAGGCTCCTTCCGCCCCCTCGATGAAATCGAAAGCTACGCCCGCAAAAATAAATGATCTAGATCCCGTCGAGAGAGTCGCGCCACTGAAAAATTGCCAGTTGAAAAGTTAACCGTCGATGTATCTTTTGGCTGCGCGGTCCGTTGAAAACCGGCGTTTCGCGGTACTCCATGGCTCGCGAGACTGACACGTTCCATTGGACACATTTGCATTTCTTTCTCGTATTTTATGCGTTTCCTTGTTGCGCGTTTGTTCGCCGATCTTGTCGAACGTCGGCAGACTCTTCTCGTTTTTCGGTCTACTTTTCAGCAGCAATCGTTAACATTAGATTTACGGAGCACTAGAAACAGCTGTTTTGTGTTAGTTTATAAAAGTCATAATAAGACATTTATTCTGATTTTTAACTAGCGTTGTTGTAATAATTGTCGCAGGTAACACATACGTTGAATAAATAATTCGTAAATGTATCTTTATAATTGGAATAATCGTGAATTAAAGCATTAGTGGCACGTCATTTCGACGCGTTCCGTAAACTTGGTGTCGATCTGCGAAATTATTTATCAAAATTAACACTTATTTGTCAAAATGACTGGTTTCTGATTTCTTCTTTCACAATCCCCGATACTGTAAAAATGTCATAGTCAGAAATTTGTATAAAAACATCTTCGTTCAAGCATCTATTGCAATCAAAATCGTAGGAAATTTAACTAAATCCAACCTTGGCATTGTTATACAAAACGATATACATTAGTCGCGTTTAGGATTCGGTAGTTCTAGTGTTAAGAAACGGATTATGCAAAATTTCTCTTTAATTTTCGTACGTAATTTTCGTCGCAAATTTCTTCTCGTACCTTCTTAATGTTATTACAAACTTCAGTAAGGACACCGAGATATTTCATTTTTACTGACAACGAAAACAGTTGACCGATCTTTTTAATTCTTCTCTATACTTTCGACTAAATATTTCCACCAAACCGAAATATCCCATTTTTACTGACAGCAAAAACAGTTGTCCGATCTTTCTAATTCTTCTTTACACTTTTGACTAAATAATACCACCAGACCGGAGAACAAAATCGTAGATAAAAAATAGACTAAATATGACAACTGCTCCAAAAATTCAAAACACCAATTTAATCTAAAAAAAAAGAAAATGACAAACGAAGATCAACCTGGCCAGAAAAATCCAAGAAAAATCAGGTGTGAATTTCCAAGAGGAGATAATGTCCGTGTGTTATGTGGGAGAGGAAAGGCAAGACCACCGTGTGATCCGCGTCCACTTACGTCCACGGCGAGTTGGTCAATTTGTAAGGACGCTTTCCCAGGTTCGCCGTCCGGCAGGAATTACGGGTTCGAAGAAAATGGCGCTGCCGATCGTCGGACGCGCGTGCCTGGGCCATTCGGTAATTCGCTAACCGCTCTTAATTGTAATTGTACCGCGCGGCGGATTCCAGGCCGTCGTCGACGGCGGGGGCCCCTCCGCAAAAACGCGGATTCCAGTGTTAAACCGCTTGCGGCCCTCGGGCTTCTTGCCGGGGGACCGGTCGGCGTCACAATCCCGTTTTTCTTCCGGCGCGTCAACAAATTTCATCGACGTGCCGATCAGATGCCGAGGCGACCCTAAACCCGACCACCGATGCGG